AACATAGAAAATCTTTGAAACATTCTGTACCATCAATTTATTTACACAATTCTTTTACATCTTAATGTGCATTTTCAGAAAGAAAAAAAATACAAAAAAGGCCCTTATAGATCAGAACTTATACTGACAGTTTCATTGTTCCCTGTGATTTTATGCTAACAATATAACGGAGGATCACAAAATATACACGATGAACATGTTTATCCCAAACACACCAGGGCGAATACTAAACATAATAACATGAATGGTATAACAGTCAGAGCCAACACGACATGGGGAATTGAGCAAAGGAGGAATATTCACAGGGCGGAAGCAAGTTGATTCCTGTAGATGGCAGAGGCCCAATTTTGGGAAAAGGAAACTCATTAATGGATAGATAAGAAGGAAACACTCGTAGAAGTAAACATCATTTTATTTTATTTCATGGAGGATCAACACATCAAAACTACATTTACTTTAAGGCATCTTACAATGCTTTTATTAATATTATAATCAACATTATAGTATTACTACTCACATTCCAGGATGCAGGTACTGATCCAAAGTGAGAGGTTTAGGACCACCAAACCAATCAATCAAAAATATATCTTCAATTTCTAATTTGAAGAATTGGAAATTGTGATCCTTGGGCCAATCTGTCATCCAGCAAAATCAAAAAGGAAGAGTCAACACTGTGAGCTAAGCAAAAAAAAGAGAGAGAGAGAGAGAGAGAGAGAGAGAGAGAGAAAGAAACAGCATGTATTAGTTATTACTAAGCCCCTTTATCACGTTTATTAGCAGAAAGACAAGCTGCTGATATATTCAGGATATGTTTTGTTACCCTTCATCTCTGCATGCTTTGAAAACAATGCCTGTTTAGCAAATTCTGCTTCTTTGGGGTTTGTGTCGACCAGTTTCAACTGCAATACCATTAGAGTTAATCTCAAAAATAAATTACCCAAAATAGAAACTTTAAGCAGATTTAAAGTTTAAATATAACCAGGAATTACTTTGTTAGCAATAAAACATGTTATTTTTGTTGGTATGAAATATGTCATTCTTAAATTTTAAGATCTATGGGCTTCCACTTAGCATAAATTCCCAAATCTACAATGGATTAGGAATGCAAGTCAGGCCAGGTTAACTCAGGTTGGGGCCAAACCTAACACAACCCAACCCTAACTTTTTCCAGTTGGGTTGGTTCAGGTTGGCCTGGCTTCTTCACTTCATTTCATTAAACTGTTATTCCATGGCTGACATATTGAGAAAGTGGAAAGAAATAGCCACCTTGGCCCAATGTAAGAAGACCTCTAAACCTTTGGTCCCCCCCCCCCCCTTCAGGATTCATAAAACTGAATTTTGATGGTAGTAGCTTAAGGAATCCTGGGCCTTCTGGGATTGGGGGAGTTTTCAGGAATGAGGTTGGGATTATTAATGCTATTTTCTCAGGCCCAATTGGAGACGGTGACTCTCTTAGGGCTGAGATTCTAGCAGTTCTAGAAGGAATCCAAAGAGCAAGAGAATTAAACATTCGATGCTTGGTCATTGAAGGGGACTCGGAGGTGGTGATTAGGTGGCTGAAGGAAGACAGCAATGGTTTGTGGAGCTACAGAAATGAAAAGAAAAAATTTAAATGGCTGAGTAGGGATATTGAGGTGAAGTACAGTTGGGTGAAGAGAAGCGCTAACTCAATGGCTGATGGGTTAGCCAAGCAAGGGGCGCTTAAGGAATCAATGTTTTGGGCTAATTTTTAGCTTTCTTTATTGTTCCCTGTTGTGGGGGAGTTAAGATAGTTTACCTCCCCTTCTTGTACTTAAAGTTTCACAAATTTAATTATTTAATAAAGCATCTTGTTACTGATCAAAAAAAAAAAGATTAGTAGATTAAGATTTACTGATTTTAGCATTATTACATGTACAAGGACGAAGTTATGGTGCTTCAGGAGTAGTGGAGTACTATACTTATATCAGAGCAGAAAAGTCATGTTCCAGTTCAGTTGGGTTGCCCATAAGGCTGTCAATGAGTCGGTTCTACCCAACCGAACCGAACCAAACCAATTATATTGGTTCCGGTTCTGTAATTTTGTCCCGATTAGTAATTGGGTTGGTTCTGGTTCTTGTTTGTTCCAAATCGATTATTTTGTTAATAATATATAAAGGTTTCCTAGTTTTCTTGTAATTTTCATTATATTTTATGTCTAAAAGGGTAAATTTGATAGATAATATATAAGACAGTTTTGGTTAAAAACACTTGATTTATTAACATATAAATAATTTACTAATTTAAAGTCATTTTTATTAAGATTATATTATCAAAAATCAAGTTTCAAGTTGTTATTTACATAAATAATTATAGATGTCAATTTAATTGGGATGGTTGAAATGAATGGTTGGAAGCATTAAAGAAAAAACTAGACAAGCAATATATTCTTTCTGGCATTAAGAAGTAGTCATATGTAAACCCACATCACCTTTCCTGTAAGCGTAAGTTTTGCACAAGTGGGGTTCTCAGGATCTATCTTTCCACAAGATCCAATCGGGTACTCGCTGACTGTGAATGAAGACCTATCATCCTTCAATGCATTTCTGGCAGTAGGATCAAGAGTTGTCAAATAGAAATATGGAATGCCACATCCTTCATCAGGCAATCCATCACTAAATGAAACCACATTCCTGCAGGGTTTTCAGATTATTCTGTTATAGACAGCATATTTTAAAATGACTTGAGTGAATGTTGAAAATGTCTCAGGAACAGGGGAGTATTTACCCAAAGGGAGCCCCTCCCAATTCACTTGAGATGGTACTGCAAAAACAGAACAACATGCATCAAGTTCAAATTCCACCACATTCATCATTCAGTGCATTTTGGTTACAAGAATGTTTACAGGGTTGTAGTGCTTCAGAGAAAGAACAGGAGAAGAAATAGGCAGCACTACATAAGAGAACACATTTCTAAAGGCCATTATTCAATGCTTATACCAGCTATATAGGGTTTTGGGAAGGGTGGGCTAGATACAGACCTAACCTCCAGCAATTTTTGCATGAGCACTGTCGGACTCAAACCTATTTCCCATGCTTTTCAGCCTGAGATTTTCCCATTGCACAAAGCAGTGGTCCCCATAAGAGAATGTCTTCTTAATGGGCTAAATTTATTGAAGCGAGACTACATAAGCAATATATAACTAACCAATCACTACACTGCAAGATGAAGTTCAAGCATACTGTCAATTTTAACTACATAAAATAGTAGCTCTCCAATTTTTCTTCTGTTGCAAAACTAATTCCTTTTTTCTCTAAAGCAACATATTAGACTGAGGAATTGCATAAAGTTGATAAAACTCCAACTCCTAGTTAGTCATTTCATTTTTTTTTTCTTATGATATTAGTGTGTAAGCATGTTATTTATTATCAAGAATTATCTTAGCCATGCAATGTACTGATTCTAATCTGTTGAAGGAAAACAAACCAACTTCTGCCCATTTTTACGACCTGTGAATAAGCTGTTCGGTTGTGCAGCAATAGGGTCTTCAATTATCCTAGATGTGCTGGGAAAATCTACAGCTGAGTTATATAACTACAGTCCATACATCCAATTTTTTAAAAAAATAACATTATTACTAATTATTTTTTTAAGGAAAGGACCATTTATTAAAAATCCATATGAGAAATTGAGAACCATTATCAAGAATCCATATGAGAGCCTTAATCTTGTTAAATTATGGTTTTCTCCACATTAAAGCGATTGACCATTTGGTTTTGAAAAGCACAGCCTTTCTGTCAGATTTGAAGAATTTTATCATACTCACAAAGGCATTTATTCTATGTCTAAAGAAAGGGGCAAGTTGGGACATCTCTCAATTTGCTTAATCATATATCATTGTTACCCTATTCATAAGGATGAAGATGCGACACTCACCAAAGATTTTCAACAGAAATAATAAAGGTGAAAAAGTTCTCTATAAATTAGAAGGAAATTATTGAAATATAAAACCGTCCAAATTATGCTCAAAATTGATCCTAAATATTGCTGTCTTTTAGAAAATGAGTAATAGAGTTAGAAGCTAGATTGCTAAATGGCATGTTAGAAAGACCACTCTACATCTAAATATTCATCATTTTATTATTCTACCCACTAAAAGACAAAGCAATAAGTAATTCAGCAGTTCTGAATTGCCCCTAACTGTTCTTGAGGGGACTTGGTTATTGTTGGAACCTACAAACAATAATTCAAGAAATTATTAGCATGAACAGAAACAAAGCAATCAAGATCCAGATTTCACATGCTTTTTGTGAAAGGTAATCAAGCTGTTGATTGGATTGCTGCTTTTGATTGAGAGAATGAGGCAAATGAATTTGGTCATGATGTCATTCCAACGGCCCTAGCTTTCTCCTGTATAAGTATCTGTGTGTGTGTGTGTGTCCAGATAGTCTTACCAGAATTTTACTTGTGGGAGTAGTATTGGATTTTCTGTTTCATGAGTTATGGTGAAAATACCACAGAAAATCTGTCCCTGCTAGCTTCACAGTCAAGATTGATATGTTAAAATCTTTGTTATAGTTGTTTGGAGATTCCACATTGAGATTCTCCAGTGGATTGGATCATGAATTGCAGCTAGGGCTGTCAATGGGTCGGGTCATCAATGTCTTCTTGGAAGGTTAACTCCTCCAGGAACTGTTTGTTGAGATCAAGATTCTTAAGGGTAGGGAGCATTTCAGTGCAAATATTCTTCACCCAATTAACTCCCACCACCTAGGAGGTTCCCTTTTGTATGAGAAATCTGGTGCATCCAGTCAGATGTCCATATATTTCACAGGTCTCAGTGTGAAAATCATCTGGAAGCCTTTCAAGCATGCCAGAGTCTTCCCTTTCCCTTCACTATTTTTTTAACATGAAAGGAAGCCCCTGGAAGCTTAGATAAATTTTACACTCCATTGGAAAGTCAATGCGTCCTTTTGAAGCCTGTAATGTTGTACATGTATAGATAAAGACTAATAGTATTTCAGGCATTCTTGCAGGAGTTAGGATCTGCTTATCATGACACATTGCTGGCCACGCGCATCCTGCCGCACATCAAGAACATTGGTTGTACTTTAAAACACCAATATTCCCAATGTATAGCTGGATGCAGCACGTAGCCAGCAATATGCCATGCTCAGCTGATCCAGACTCTTCTTGCAGCCTTGCAGGATGCACCAGGATTTTGTTATTATTTCTCAACAGAGTTTCTTACTGGCCTAAAGGTTCTTGGTAAGGATAATGGAGATTAGACACACCATCATTTCTAAATTTATTTTTTGATTCTGGCTTAAAGATTCTAGTGAGGATACCAGATATCAGATTCATCATTTCTAAATTATTTTTCTATGTATTAATATATTCTGGCCCAGATCCACCTAACCCAACCTACCCTTCCCAAGAAACTCATTCCCAAAATCAAAGCTCAGATATCATGCTTGGCCCAAGCCTCCACTAATAACTGTGAAAGCCCTAAATCATAAATCTTGGGATATCAATAGACAAAAACTAGTCAACATGACAGTCAAACCCAATATCACATAATAATGAATCTTTCTCCTCTTCCAACCAAGCTCAGACTACTCCAGCATTAACTTGAAAAAAGGAGCCATTACCCAGTGATGGTCACAGATATCGAAGGTCGGGGAGGAGTAGCCACCCTCAGGCTTGAATCCATGTTCTCATGCTTGTCAGCCTGAGATTTTTACCATCTCACAAAATAAACCTCACCTTTTACATTGTTAGCTTCTGCTTACCTTAATTCTTGTATTTGAATTCCAAAATCTCTGAATCCTACAACTACATGACCCCTATTTGACATAGAAAAGCAACAGCATCTTTCTTTATAAACTGCAAAGATCTTCAATGCATGGTGGCTGACCACCAATACCTCCAGATGGAATTTTTTTTTTTTTGATAGTTCCTCCAGATGGAAAATTTGACACCAATATAAGAGTAACCAATCAAAACCCTCGGAACAATAAGTTCGTAACTTCTCCAAACTGCAGTAAGATAAGCATGAGCAGGTGGAAAAGAGATTTGCATGAATTATTAATAGAAACTGGACAAGTGATACATTCTTTGCAACAAGTATAACAATCTTCAGGCTCATGATAAAAAGATACTAAACTCATCTACTAGAACAGAGAAATCCTTCAAAATATAATAGAAAAACTGCAATGGTTCTTCAAGTTGATATCGAGATAAACAAATAGAACCATAGCACGAAATATTCATGTTACGAGTACTCTATTTAACTGTCTGGTATTCCCCGAGCACCCAACCAGTTGACTTATTTTGCCTTATTTCAAGTTACTGGAGAATGGGCCTATTTCCACTATCTTCTAGCTTTTCTCCAAGCCTCATATGTATGATAGGAGAGTCTTGTTGAGATTCTCTCAAAAGCTTATCCATCTTTCGTGAAAGAGAAGAAAGACGCTTTCATCTCTCTTTGAGAGGAGTAAAGAAAGAAATCAATCCATTGTTTAGTGTTTTGCAAGCCATTTCTACCGATTTATTAGCTGCAATTTTGGGTTTCTCTTTCATGACATGATTTTTAAACAAAGTAAAAGCGCAGAACTGAAATAAATAAACAAAGCCCATGTCGGAAAACAAAAAATCAGATACAAAGAAACTAAATAATTTTCCTTCACAAAATTGTGTAGAGAGAGAGAGAGAGAGAGAGAACCTTAAGATAGCCCAGGAGTTCTGGGAAACCAGCCATCGAGCGGTGGCAGCAGCATCAGCTGGATCAGGTTTCTTTTCGGGCAGCAAGCGCCCATGTACGGACATGGAAGCATCAAGAAACACGATAAGGAAGAAACAGAGAGCACCTCTCAACTCCATTACTTTTTATAGTATTCCTCGCTTATCCGTAAGTGTAGAACGCAGTTTAAACGGACATGAACATGATGAAGATGAGCTCAACAGAAGCCACTTATATATACTTTACTCACAAATCGGGTTGTGTTTGATGACCGATGATGACTTGCAAACCTACCAGCAAAGGCAGCACGGAATCGCGAAAGAGGAAAGCCCAAACCAAACGGAGCCGTTTTTCCGTAATCCGTTGTGTCATTGCAACGCTACTATCGCCATCCGATATTGGTCGGACGGACGGTGCGCAACTGTGGTGACCCACACCACGGTAACCCATCCGTACCATAGTATACCCGAAACAACCATCCCAGTACTCAACCGGATTTCCGTGGGGTAAGTAACCGTATACGTATACTGATACCAACATTTGTTTGTTTTTTCATTCTTTGCTTCATTGCTTTGTACAAGCTGTAGCCTGTAGGGGAGATTTGTTGTCTTGTTCCGTTCAAGTAGGAAAAATACAACTGACGCTAAGGTGCGGAGGCACGATCCTCGTGTTCGTGGATTCATTTGCCATTACGAAATCTAATATAGGGAAATTGCTAACGTGTTTCACAAAACCACTCAGTCAAATGGTACTTCGACGTTGATTAGATTATTTACGGTGATTAAGGCTGCCCATGACAGTTGGATCATCTGTACCGAAAACGGTAATGCCACTCCAAAGGCCAGGGCTCACTGTGGGCCCCATCTGGTGTGTTCAAGAATGACAGTTGTCTGCATTTCATCTGGATTGCTCCAAAGGGTTCTTAGTCCGAATGTCCGTATCCCAAATAAAAATATTAAAATAACTGTGTACTTACCAAAAATAAATAAAATTAATTGTGATTTTATTATTGTTAATATAGTTTTCATTAGACTATTTTATGTATAAAATGTTCATTATTGTATATAAAGTTATTATTTCTGTAATGAAGACTACGAATTCATATAACTGGCATTATCAAATAGTTTCAATAGTAAAAATATTAAAATAATTGTGTACCTACCAAATAAAACTAATTGTGTTTCACTGAAAAAATAAAATTAATTGTTGGTTGGTCTTCTAAATTACAAAATATTTATGGGTAAATTACATATAGGTATTTTGTACTTTTGGGATGGTGAAAGATTGACAGATATGTATTATCAACTTTCAATTTCAACACTTAAGTATCTTGAACTTTCAAAAATAGACACTTGGGTCCACTTTTATTAATTCACGTTATGATGTATAGTAAAATTATCAAAATGTCCATGTATATTTTAAATTATTAAAATCAAAAAATTAAAAATGACCAAAACAACTCCGATTGAAAGTTGGGTAGTTTTTTATCTGGGTATTGCTCATTCCAATCCCTACAAATAAGTAGGAGAGAGTTGAACGAAAGCACTTTGTCGATAAGGGTAAGAAATCGCCGACAAAATAAAATCATCACCAGAGAATGTCGTTGCCAGAGAAAAAAAAAAACTTGTTGAAATGCCAACATAGTCCCTTTTAAATGGTGTTGAAAATTTGAACTTGTTATTCGTTGTCCACGTGAGAACGTCATCATGGGGAGAGGTGGACTTCACCTGTGAAAGTAGAAAATCACCAACGAAGTAAAAGAATCACTAGAGAATGTCATTGTTAGAAAAAATTGTGTTGAAGCGCCAATAGTCCCTTTTAAATGTTGTCCATGTGAAAATGTCATCGTGGAGAGAAGGCATTGGTCCTTTGACTAACTTAATAACTTATATGATATTAATCGAAGTATATAAATTTAAATGACGGAATGATAGTTTTAACATTATGTAATGTTTAACTGACAGAATGCTAACAGATGGACCCCCAAGTGTCTATTTTTGAAAGTTAGGGTACTCAAGTGTTGCAATTTATTGGTATTCCTTTATTACATAGATATTTTTGTTTTAAACAAAAAGGAGGAACACTAAAAACATCAAGGATACATAATATGCCCCTTAATACACAAAGTACTAAGCTATAAAAATGTAGGTGGGGGTTTGTAAAAGAAACAAAATAATTTGTAGAGAGAACTATAGAATGGATCTATCAATAATTTATCAAACCCATTGATATAACAACAATATGATGTATTTTGTAATGAATTTTTAATAGATTGAAAGTTCAAAATTTGTTTAGTAAAGTTATTGTATGCTATCTACATTTTCCAACATTGTTGATTGCAATGCATCTCCTCGTATAAGCAATTGAAATGTGCATTTATTGTGGGTTTAGACCATATTCATAGTTATTTTAACCTTATATGAGTGTAATCAATATACTTGTAGGATTTGTAAGAGTTTTCTTAATGTATCTAATGGTGCCCATATCTTTCCATCATATCCGTGTATATCCAAAGTATATTGTTATCCATATCGAAGCTTTTCGATGTGATATACGATACCAATATTTTTAAAACTTGAACCCACCTTATATGGGACTATAGTGTTATCGCACACATTGGTGACCAGTGTTTTGTAGTTTGTACTTAGGCCCATTCACTTTTCAATAAGTTACTTATCCAGGTAAATGAACTTATCTAAGTGTTTATTGAGAAATACTTAACTAGGCAAATACACTTACACGTGCTTTTTATTTCTCAAGTAAATAAGATAATGACCATTTTAGCCATAAAACCTATTATTAGAAGAGGCAATTTTGTCCCATCCAAGAGTTGACAAATTTATCATAGGAGGGAAAGTTACTTACCCACCTAAGAGATGGGTAGCACTTACTTGACAGGTAAGTGATACCTCGGGGAACTAATTTTTTTACAAACCCTGCATAAATATGAAAAAAGACAATGGCATCTTGGCCAATAGAAACCAAAATCCCATTGACCAATTTTCCCCTCTCAAAATCCACAAAATGAACCAATTGATGCAACTACTAGACACCTCACCCTACCTAATTTAGTATTTTTGCTTGTTAGTTGAATTAAGGTTTGTTGTGAGATAACGCTCCTCACACCAACCTAATTGCACACTTCAGCCTGTATTAGAAGAGTCCATATCACCTGCCAACAAAATATGTTCCAACACCCTACCAACAATACATGACACTCCATCTCATACATGATAGGTTCTACTTTTATGGTGGGTTACGAGATCAAGTTGGTAGGGTGTTGGAACTTGTTTCGTCAGCTGGTGATCCCAACTCGTATTGAAAATATTTGCTACACCCAACAAATGAAAACATAGAAAATATTCGAGATGTGGGGCTAAAGTGCCGTGAGATTGGAGTGAGGAGCATTCCATAAGGAGCAATTCCGGGTGTTCACATATGCGCCCCACGAGGGGGCGCCCCACAATGTTCCACAGCACATCTCTGCTCTGTATTGGGAACATCTCTTAATAATGATATCATCGATTCTGGTACATCATCGGGAGATGTTCCCAATACATGGCGAGAATGTGATGTGGGATGTTATGGGGTGCCACTTGTGAGGCGCAAATGTGAACTCCAATTCCGAATTTGAAGCAACTTCGAGTTTGAAGATTAGGGTTGTTCACGGGTCGGGTTGGGTTGATTTACTAGCATTTTTCCAACCGACCCGACCTGATCGGTTTACCTAGAAATGAAACCGAAACCGACCCAGTACTAAGTAAAACCGGCTTGGTTGATTTGAATCGGGTTGGGTCGGTTTTGGAAATGATTTTCTCAGTGTGAACGGTAAAGGATTCAAGTCTAAGAAAGCAAAGGCTGGATGCCTGAGAATTAAAAATGATTTGATGGATTAAAACTGATATTTTGTATATCAGAAATTTTATATATAATATGTATATTTCTTAAATAAAGCTGAAATATATATATATATAGTAAAACTGAAATATATCAGATATATATATATATATATAAATATATTATATATAATATATATCTAAGTCGGTTCGGTTTTCACACATAAAAACCGAAACCGAATCGAACCATCGATTTATGTTTTTTTTAACCCGAAATTGATCGATGATGAAGAAAAACCGGCCAACTCGGATTGGATCGGACCGGATTGGTCGGGTTGAATGGTAGCATCCTCACGGCGAATTGGGATCTGCTCCTCACGGCAGACATAAAATTTTGAAATCGTTGCGAATCGCGATGCAGAAAAGATGATAAAAACGTGTGTGTTCTAACTTCTATGTCGTTACTCGTTAGAGCAGTGGATCCCACAATTAACGGTGATCTTCGCGTTTGTACACATTGAGTATCCCAATAAAATGACTCCATGAATGATGAATCCCTCTCAAGTCTCAACTGAAGATATCGAAAAACGTTACATATGCTTCGTTTTACACCATCAAATGACTTGGTTACTGGATCTACGGCTAAAACTTAAACAAAGAGAGAATACTACGTGTAAGCTTTCTCATTCGAAGAAACCCACCTCCCATTGAGCATGCCTCGTATTTTCTATTTTGGCGAAGTCCAACGTGAGTTCATTACACAGAAAAACGAGGAGGACTTAAAAAATTCTAACTGGTTGAACAAAGACCAGAGAAGATCGAAGAACAGCCCCTTCTCAGATGAGATCTCAGCTCCATCTCCCTTAATACAGTAGAAGCAAAGGAGATCAAATTCATCCAAAGATGGGTCTCTTCACTTACTGCTTAGCAGGAGGCGGGCTCATGCTAATCGGCGCTTGGGAGGCCCTTATCTCTTCCTACGCGCACCTAAATCCCTCCTCTCCTCTCTCCCAACCGCACACTCCATCAACAACTGCAGGAACAACAACAACAACCCGGGTTAGAAAGAATCCATCCTCCTCTTCTGTTAGTTTTATCGCTGTATCTGTTTTCTCGTTCTTCTTCATCTTCAACTCTCTAGTATCTTTAATCGATGCCCTTCACGCCAACGATGGGGTCGGCTTCGCTCTCCAATTAGAGATTATAGCACTGGTTTCTCTCTTTCTTCTCTACTCCGCCGTCGGTCTCTTGGTCGATTTTACTGGTTCCATTCCTTTACCCTCTTCAATCCTCAATTTCATTGCTCTCATCGGCTTCGGGCAAGAATTTCTCCTCTTTTACCTTCAGAGGAAAGACCCATCTGGGATTGAGAATCGTTACTTCGATCTTTTGCTTCTCCCGATAGCCATTTGTATTTTCTCCACCGTTCTTGAATTTGTTTCCTCCAAATCCAATTTCCCAAGATTGGCTCGTGGAGTTGGTTTGATTCTTCAGGGGACATGGTTTGTTCAAATGGGTTTCTCCTTCTATACCAGTTTGATTGCTCACGGCTGTTCTCTACATGAAAAGAGCAGAGGGAATTATACAATGAAGTGCAAAGGGCATCCCGAGTATCACAGGGGTAGAGCGATAGCAACGCTTCAGTTCAACTGCCATCTTGCTTTTCTTGTGGTTTTGATCGTAGGGGTTTACTCAGTTATCGGCCACAAGTACGGAATCTCGCGCGGTGATTTCACGAATTACAAGCTGCTCAGTGCAGAATTGCAGAAGTTGGATTCACATTCGCGGTTTACTTTAGATTCTGATGATGATGATGTTGATGAAATTAAAGAGGAGAATGTTGGACACCAGAAATCTGCTGTTAGTGTTTCTAAACAAGGTGTCAATGGTTTCGCTGCTCATTAATGTGGTAACCTGCTGGCATTTATTTGCAAAAATGGAGGTTCCTAATATCCTTGGTCATGTATCGTTGCTTAGAAAAAGTTATCTTTGTATGAGCCAATTGAAATTTTTTGTTTTTCTTTTTCTCGTTCCTGTTTATAGGAATACTTATGTGTTATAAAACGTTTACTACCATCTGTTCCATTAACTCGAATTTGGCGCTTCTTCTGATAATATCTTGTACTAACTGATTCAGTTGATTCTTGCTTTTGAGTGGTTGATCGTGAATTAAATGGCCAATGAGAGCCATAATTTTGTTGTATCACCTTTTTTGGTTCTCAAGTTATCAGCTTCCGTTTAGATTAAAAGCAGAGGATGATAAAATATGCCTTGATTTGGATGTTCAGAAGAAACAAAATGGATGCAGCTTATGGTGATCTAAACTTTAGAAAAGTATGTGCAAGCCTTCTGGACTAATGTTGTGTAATTCCATTTGGTGGTTAAGGTTCCATGTACGATTAACTTGGCCAATAGAAAGGAGTTGGTTAGGGCCTTCCCCTCCCAAAGATTAACTTCTTGGAACTTGCCCTATTTAGGAGTCAATAGGAAGTCTAGATGAAGATTGATCTGATAACTGCATTTTATATTTCACAGGAAGAATTATCAGAGAACAGTTGCAGGATGTTGTGCAGGCCCTTTATATTTTCAGAACATTGTTACTCATATTCTATTTATTTTTTTCTTTCTTTTGTTGTTTCTGTTGGTATCATCTGGGTATTTTAATAGGAGGTTTTGGCTGTTGTGCTAACTGTCTTCACTAGTTTTTTTCTATGAATAAACTCCAGAAGTAGTTGCTTAGATTTGGTGTTTTCTCACTTATACTGCATACTTGGTCCTTGTGGTAATAGATTTATTCAATTAAAAGAAATATCTCTTCTGAAATATAATATGGTTATGCCCTTGGTTTAATATATCCTGTTATCCTGCGAGCGTCACATGGATATGCTGTTAGTCTGTTTCAGAACAGGAAATCTCTCTCCCCCTGCAGTTTTCTTTAGGGATCTAATACCGAATATATGGGGTTGGCTACATGAATCCTGTTTTGCCAATCCGTTTTATTTAAAGCCATATCCACTGTTAAGTTATTAGTGCTTAAATAATTTTATTTAAGCCATATCCACTGTTAAATTATTAGTGCTTAAATAATTTCTTACTAATTATACCCATGTTCTTTTTGGTCTACCCCTTGCCCATCTAGCCCCTTCAATTATAACAAACCACTTCTTTTAACTGGTGTTGTTGATGGTCTCCTATGCACGTGACCAAACCATCTTACATCTTAGTCTACTTTCTCTCATTGTATCACCTATTAGGGATATTCCTAGGTTCCTATGGATGACTTCATTCCTGATCCTATCCTTTAGTTTTTCCGTTCATCCATCTTAGCATTAGCATTTCTTCCAGACACTCATTTTCTGGATATCAATGGCCCCAAACCCAGATAAAGGAGTAGGGTTGTGTCAGGTTGGCAGCCGACACTAAACTTTTGCCAAAACCCTTATGAATATGGGTCCTGATTTCTCTTTAGGGATCTGATATAAGCAAAAAAAGAGGTATTACAGTGGGGGTTTCAAATGATTACTTAGTGGATATGCATCACATGGTTAGTAATAAGGATCACTTTCCCAGGTATTTTACATCAACTAAAACCATAGTTACATTTAGGACATGCTAACCGTTTTGCTCCATGCTTGACGAGTCCTGAGTCTCCTGATTGCTTCTCCAACAAAACAAAGTGCTGTTTCTCATGTATTTTTCTCCACCATCTTTGGAACCTTGTTTCTTGATTGTATTTGGACAAAATCCAAAATTTTCCTTTTTATTGATCTTTGATTGCCCAATTACCTTTGAATTTCTACAATGTAGATTTCTATGCTGGTGGAAGCCTGGCTTGCCGGCCACCTAAGAGAATCTTCCTTAGGCCATAGGAGGGGTTAGCAAAGACATTTTTTTACTTTATTATAGATTCTTTAAAGAATTAGTAAGAGAATTTTGAAATAGGTGGCTCTACCATTAGATACACACACACACACTCACTTCAGCTCACCTAGGCCAAAGTGGAGATAGGATTTTATATCAAAATTATCTGAGGGAGCTTCATTATATTTGCAATATGGATATTTGGGGTCGTGCCACCCCTTGTCTAGTGTATTCTTTTTTCATTCTTACCAAAAATGGTCACTCTACAGCCTACAAGCAAAAAAATTTTAGCTCCTTCATGGAAGGACAAACACCTTCCTTACCAGCTGATGATCATTCATTTCTTTCTTTCATGAAGGTGTGAAAATAAACTCGTAGTGTACAGGTCCCACTTCAAAGGATTTGAGTGTTAAACTGGTTTTTTTTTATGCATTATTTTAGTAATTAGAATCAGAAAGTCTTCCTTTAATCAGTCTCTGTTCTCTGGTTAGTGTTTTTTTGTAACATGCATGCATGGGCAGAAATATGACAGATAGGTCATGTAGGAAAGCTCTCCACTTAATCCAATTAAGGAACCTTTTTCCATATTAGAATCACAAGGCTTCTTCATATGGAGGATGTAATGACTAAGGAATTGCATTCACAACATGGAGCTTTAGCTTTATAGCCTGGTCAGAGCTGCATGAGATGTTGTGTTCCACTGTAAACCTTCATGTGTGGTTCGTTCCGAGCAATAGAATGAGGGGCTTCAATTTATTGTGGGTTTTGGATCTCACAAAAGGTGAGGTTTTTATCCCTTTTAGTTCTTTACTTCAATTCCTTCCGCTGTTGACTGGGTAGAGATGACCTTTGTAGATGTATGGATGGATGCTCATTGCTCAATGTCAAAATCACATCATGTGATTTGATGCAGTTGATTTTAACATACAATGATGCATCTTTCTTTTTCTCGTTAGTTAGAATGAATGAATGATGCGTCTGTAATAGGATTGACATTCCTCTCAAGTGCTTAATGCAAACATTACATATACAAGCTATGCTGGTGGACTCCCTGGCCCAATACTTTTATGGTAAATCGGTATGCCCGTTGAATTTCTAAGTGGTTCTTCTGTTCCAGATGAGTTTACAGATGCAAGGGGGAGCATCTAAAATACTGGAAGCAGAAGAAATAGCTTTATGTAATATGTATAATTTTATTGTTCGGGCATCGTATCCATTTCTATCAGAAACCTCAAATATGAGAAGATTACTAGATCTCTATTCTTAATATTTCTCCTTGGTTCTTGGTATCTTTTACTGAACAAGTTTAAGTCAGGTAAGGTGACTCGGGTCTCATTTTTTACTGTCCTAGTCTCCTAGATTTGCCTTTATCTAATTATCAATGAGCTAATGGATCAAAAGCTTAGGCTTGAAACATAAATGGGCTTTACCCTTTAATACACTGAAGCTGCGAACGTGTACCTTAATATGCAGTGATCAATATTGCAATCTGAACAAAGAGTGATTAATGTAGATGGTGTGTAATCTAAGGGTCTGTTTGGTTTGCAGTTGGAATTGGAATCAAAATTGAAATCCTTTGAAATTAGAATCAGAATGGTCCCGTAGTCTATTTGGTTTAGATAGGAATGGAAATGAAAATTAAAATCAACAGAAATGGGATTTCATTCACAAGAGAGGGGAAAGGAATAGCTATTCTCATTTCCATTCCAATTTCAGATCCCTATTCCCACAAACCATCCAATTTCATATCCTTATTCCCACAAACCAAAGAGAGCCTAACTTATAAATTTCTAATGCGTTTATATGAATTTGAGTCGGTGCTGAAAGCCTAAACCCTTTATGCACGTAAATATAAAGGATTAAAGTTACTAGGAGTGGGTCTGCTAGTGCTAGGCAGGTCGTCCGGCAAGGAATCTTCCACGTAGCAAACTGGTTTGGGACCCAAAAATGGTAGATATAAGACACATAATCTAATGTAGCAGAAATATGGCAGAGCGTGTGGGAAGGCTCTCTAATTTTCTTAGTTAGAGACTTTTTATTTTTAGATACAAGGATCCGTTTGGATATGACCGGAATCAGAATTAGAATCAAAATCCGTTGAAATCAGAATTGGAATGGTTTAGTCCTATGGTTTATTTGGTTCAAACAGGATTTGGAATAAGCTATAACAGGATTTCATTCCTGAGGGGAGGGAATGGCCATTCCTTCAAATGGGGGAATGCCATTCCAGCAGGAATGGAAATGAGATTCTAATTCCACCTAATCAAACACTTATAATTGGAATGATCCATTCTAATTCTGGTTCTAGACCCCCATTCCTGTGAAACAAATGGGCCTTAAAATCTATAAGGCTATGTTTGGTTTGAAGGAAAATGCAAGGAAAATAAGAGAAAGGTAAGAAAACCTTTACAATTTACAAACCTTATATAGGTTCCCGCCTTTCCCTTCCTTTCTCTACTTTTTCCTTCAAACCAAACATAGCCTAAAAAAATGATAAAGGGAAATGAAAGAGGAATCCAAGCCATGCATCCCTTTTGCTCCCTTGCAACTGAAACAAGTACATTATGCTTTATGCACCACATAATCAGATGCGGAAATAGTGTGCTGGTTCAAGCACATCTAATTTTACTGACACAATGTTCCAGATGAGTGGTGCATGATGCTCTTGTACATGGTAAGCTAATATTCCGAAATAATGAAAAGAAAAAGGGATACCCAAAGTTTGGATTTGCTCCTCGCATAGTGCGCTATAACACATGTAGCACATTTGGGTGGTGTTTGGCATCAATGCTGTTGATTCGGAAAATGATTTCACGTTGGTGCCACATCAGAAAAAAATAATGGTGTGTCAATAAATGCAGATTTGTTTGGGTCCATTTCTCCAGAAAATGCAAAGAAAACAACTATGCCTTGGAATTTGGGAAGGTGTGGTTTGTGAAAATGTCAAATTTGACATTTTCTCATTTTTGTAACAGTTGTTTCCAACGTTACTATAATGTGACACCAATATGACATCATATGAAGCATTAGATAATGTGGACCAATGCTGGAAACGGTTATAGAGCATTAGTACCAAACAAAAGCAGTGTCGTTTCCCCATAAAACATCCTATGTGGCAGCATCGGTGTCAAAAAAAAAAGCCATTTTTTCAGAGAAAACTGTGCAATAGGCCCTTATCCATACAGCACCATTTTCTCGAATTCACATCTGTGCCCCAGATGCACATCTTAGTGTGCATTTTAAACATCTCCCTTACTCGTATAGGGAGATGCTCCCAAAACACCGGTCGGAATGTGTTATAGGGCACAGATGTGAATTCCATTTTCTCAGAAAATGGCTATGAGGCAATGGCATAAATGCCAAACAAAACTTGGAATATCTCCGGTACTTGTATTGTCATTCATGGGGAGATAATCTTCATGCACCTGCACGGCTGCAATGTGGTATGGGGAGATGTTAGATGCTATATGTGAAGAGCAAATCCCAAATTGACAGCCCAATCTGAATGATTTTCTATTACCTGTTTAAAGCATGTTTTGTGTAATATATTGTACGGGCTTTTAGGTTTTTATAGTTTGTTGTCTAATAAGAATTAAAAGTGCACGAATTTATGAATAGAGGTTGCTCATCAAGAACTTTGAATTGAGAAAGCTTGATGAAATTTAGGTTGAGATCGAATTAATGCTGGATCAACCAAGAATCTTGTTTGAAACTTGCGTAAATGATTTTGGCACCTCAAAGCTGTAAAGTCCAGGGCCGACAATATTGATCCACCCAATCCACCCATTTTATAACGGATCAATATGGGTTGAACGGCCCATTAGGGTCAGGATGGATGGATTGGATCAAGTTAATCATAGGATCGGTTAGGCAAATTGGGAAAAAGGATTTGTGTTCATGAACTACCCTCCAGCAGTAGTCCAGCTGACTCTCTACCTCTTTATTCTCTCTTTCCACTCTCTCAACACTCTTGCTATCATGTTATGGTCATCCCCCTCCTCTCTTTATTTCAATGTTCCGTGGTATTTTATTATGTTGTATTCAATGTTTAGTCCATTCTTTACCCAACAGACCAAGAGCAAATTCGTGATCTTTACAGAGCAAAATGTTGCAGAGACTCTTACAAGAATGACTTTAAAATCGTTGTACTTACAGGTTCTGTATCCAAATGGTCACGGAGCCTGTTAACCTTATTATTTGATCAAGTATCTGAAGTAGCTTATGCAAATTTGTTTATTAGAGTTGGTCTTCTCCCACTACAACAAAGGAGGTTTTTAGCGACCATTAATTAACGATTACTTACAAAAATTGTCGTTGTAAGACATTAATAATGTCAAGAATTGTCTCCCGTCGTTATTACTCTACAAGACACGATTATTTAACCACCAATTTCAAGTGTCGTCATTATTTGCCAATCGGTTCCGTCGTTAAATTTAAAACACTAATTTAAATAAGTTCGCATCTCCGCCTCATTGCCTGTTGCCCCACAAACGCTCCACATAACGTGAAACTGCCACATGTTCAGTCACACGTGGTAGAGCGTTTTTTCGTGTGGGCTAATGGGATAAGCCCGTTAGACCTAAAACGAATTTAAATTTCATTCTCCTATACAGCGTTTTAAAAAATATAACCGTTTTGGTTATTGGTTTCCGGGTCGACAGTTAGACCATCCGATTTTAATAGATGGCCCGTTTTGACAAATAAATAAAATAATTAAAAAAAAAACAGTCAAAATCATTGATTGGATTGACGGTTCGACCACCCGGGTCAATGGGTTGCTGACTTTTTTAATGGTTTTTAGCTAAATACTGGGTTTGGAGTAAAATGGAACCCGTTGCCTAGACGGTTCTCGAGTCAAATGGTTCGACCGTCTGAATCAACAACGGTTTGAAAACCTTGCTCCCATATTCCCACCCCCTCAACCTTAATGGTTCGACCGTCCAAACTGTCAACCCATTCAACGATTTTTTACCATTTTTTATTTTTAATTATTTATATATATATTTTTAATTTATTTGTCAGAATGATTCGTCTATTCAAACCGGATGATTGGACCATCGAACGGTGGCCAAAATGGTTCCGTTTCTGGGTCATTTTTTAAAATGTTGATTTGAGGTTGAGGGGGCGAGAATACGAGAGAAAGAGGTTTGGGCTTGTTGCAAAGCTAATTATTACGGTCTGACATAGGTTTAGCCTTGCATATGCTTGGCAAGCTTACGTTAAGGGACATCACCGTCATTTTCGCCTATAAGATTTTTGGGAGAATTGATGTTATCTTTAGACAGACCACCAAAAGCTTAACGTACACTTTGAGGATGGGTGGTTGGCCTCTTTGGGTGCCTAACCTTGGCACTCCTAGACCAACTTCCCTTGCGGGGCGGCCCTGGTTAATGGCTAGCATGGCTACCAGGGTTCCTCATGGACTCACACATGCTCATGGGGATAGTGCATGGACCGACACTCAAGTGAGACTTGGCATGTGGGCTTAGCTCAAGTATACTCTTCACCATGCCAGCCCCTTGCCTAAACTGAATGAGCTATTCCGTTGCCCCTAGCGCATGGGTGTGTTTTGTCCCAGCGGTTGCCTATCAACATGGCACATAAGCGCCTATCATCATCGGTATATAGGAGACCAATCACATCGGTGCCAAGTCACCTCTCTTCGACGCACAGTCGCCTCACATCATGGCCTTTCTCCTTTAGCACATAAATAGCGTCTCCCATGGTCCAGCCAGAGCCAATCGAATGCCCCGGCCATACAACTTGAGGTTATGATCCAGTACTGTTGATCTTGGTGAAACCATCTCACGGAGCAACTCGTAGTCTCTAAGCGCACAAAGGCTTGTCTTGAACTACCTTGGCCTAGACGTCGCACGGGTTTCTTTCCACCGTAGAACTACCCGCGTGGCAGGAGCTAAGGCAGGCGGTGGGACGGATATGCGAACTCAAGTTTTCTCCCGGGCAGTTCCATCGTTAATAAAAGCTAAACAAAATATCTATCTCGCGCCGATTTCCAATTTTGTATCCCGCTAAAACTCCCTCCCTCCTCCCTCTCTCTCTCTCTCTCTCTCTATCTCTCTCTCTCTATAGAGTGGTTCTGCGGACGGTCAGAGGATAAATTCGGGATAGGTATCAAGCTGATCAAAGGTACAAGTTCCTCTGTTCCTCTCTTCGTCCCCCCCCCCTCCTCCTCCTATCTCTCTCCCCCTTAGCCCTAATGTTAATCGTTGCTTTTCTTTCCTGTCAAGTGGATTTTAGAGCTGCCACCGAATAATCTGTGTGGGTTCTTTTCTCTTGAACCATAAGATATGATTTTATTTTTCTTTTCTCTTTGAACTACCACCAAAGATGACAACAAATACATTTGAGGAAGGTACCATCAACTTGAAGGAGAAACCATTACAGTGACTTCATAGTTTTGCACAAGAGGTAAAGTTCTTTATTTTTAATCAATCCTCTTTCAATTGATAGATTTAGGGTGTTTTAATATTTCGGATTTGGACACTATTTATGTAAATGGATTAAAGTCAGATTTAAAACTTTATCTAATTGATAACAAATTGTATATCTGATTCCAATTGGCAATTGCTCCCATCAAGATTTGAGTTCGATTAAATTTCATATTTATACATATATGAATAAACATCTATCATTGTTTTACCTAAAATGGATTGACTCAAATGCCCTATTCAATTTGAACCAAATTGCCACCAATTTGACTGTTTGAAGACAGGCTCGACTTTAATTCCTTTCTCTCTTATTTTATTTAGAAAATAATGAACAAGTTTATTAAATAGAATTATCTATTGAACTTATTTAAGGTATAAGTAAATGATTAAACAAGAAAATATTCAAGGGTGTGGTTCTGTCCAACTTCAAGTTCAGCCATTCAGAAACTCATAAGCACCTCATTCAAAAGTTATTCAGTAAAAGACAAATCAATAAGTTTTCCAGTTCAGCCAGTTCAACTGCTATCGAATGTCTCCTAGAAACTAACCATTGACCTAGCTTGCTGAATATGCAATTGACACACTCATTGCTTCAGTGCCTCAGTGGCCAATGCTGCCTCATGGAAACAATGGAGCCTTACAAGGTGAAATCCCTTAAATTCATGCTGAGGTGGAGTGTAGGGGTGCAAGTCAGGCTAGTTGGGTTGGGTTTAAGCTCAACCTAGGCCTAACCCTAAGAATTGGGCCTAAGGCCCGAGCCTGAGGTCAAGCCCAAACTGTTCAACCCAGGCCTGACTCAAACTGAAATTTGATGCCCTTGGGTTGGGCTCGAGTCTGGGCCGGGCTTGGATTGGTCAATCAGCCCACACTAAAATTTAATGTGAATGTATGTATATATGCACACATGTATGCATATGTGTATGATTTATCAAAATATAAATGCATATATGTGTTTGTATATACATAAGTATGTACATGGGTGGGCCATGCTTGGGTTAGAATAAAATAGGGTCGAGCTCAGGCCAGGTTTGGGATACCTAAGCCTAGCCCAACAAATAAAAAAGCCTAAACTTTGGAACCAGGTCCAGCCTGAGAACCAAAAATTCAAGCTCAGACTGTAAAATTGTGGGTTGGGTCAGTCCATGTTCAGGTTGGGCCCGCTTAAGTTGCACCCCTAGTGGGGTGGCATGTAGCTGGTCTATTGCCTCTTTGCCTCCTTTTTTTTGGGACTTAGTGTTTACTAGGAACCCAAATGGACCCATATAGGACATAGTCTCCATGGCCACCTAATTATTTTTTGCTTTACTTCCAATGAACACATTGAAAGTTGAAACTGTCTTTTGTTTGTTTAATTCCATTATTTCTTCATTTTTTTTCTTTTTATTTAATTTATTGTTATTTTTAGTGAGCACCCTATGCACCCATTATTGTTAAAATGTTGAATTGCCTACCAAGTTGATGCATAAGTGGATAGTCTGAATTAAGCCACAAGAGCCAAAATTTGATGGCATTGGGTGGAATGGCAGGTTGGGTCTAAAGTTGGTACCCCTAGCCTCTTCAAGAGAATAAGATGATACCACACAATTATAGTTGCCTTAACTTACTATTACTATATATTAGGATATTCCTAACTATCACAAACTGCTTTTGGGTTGCATTAGTGGAATTTGACATGGAAATGTTGTTGGTTTCATCAAATTCCTCAAGTAGATGGATTTCATGGTTTAGCTCCAAGGAATGGTACTTTTCAGAACTTAGAAACTTGAGGGATTTAGGGTATCAAATCCACAAGAATCTTGGATTTGATCTCCTAGTAGGGATGAGGTTTCAATTCCACAGGATTCAGATAAGTAGAATTGAACTGCATACACCAAATTTGACCCTAAGCCAAAAGTAAACATAGGATTGAAAATCTTAGCCAAATACCCTGTAGTCTTTGCCAAAAGTAAACATGTTGTTGCTTGTGCATGTGTGTGAACAAGAAGTTATCTGAAGGAAAGTTAGGAGTAGATCTATTTCAAGTTTTTAAGTATGAGCAGTCTCATCCAACTCATTCCTAGAATTACATTTTGTATAGTTTTTTTGTCATGTGTTTGTGATATGTTAGTGATTCACTATGTGGTTCAACTTGCCATGGGTTGAATTGTGGGTTCCACTGTGCAAATTCTAACACTGAATTGGCCATGGGAATGCAAATTCATACTTGTGGTATGGTGGACCTGGAAACCTAGTGGTGATATCCATAACCTTATTAAGTTTATATCTAAGTAATTGGATTGATTCTATTTCACATAGGTCAATGCTTTATAATGGAACATTTGTTAGTGAATGATGAAAGGTAACATCTACCTCAAACTTTGAACATTGTCCACCCTTGGAATAAGAGTGAAATTTCATGTAGTTGAGGAAAAAGAAAATGATAATTGGAATGATGAATACAATCTCCTTCTATCAAGGGCTCAAACTTTAATGGTTTGGGCTAGGGATCTAGCGAAATTAAGGTTGCCAATGGTTGTGCACACATAAAATCGAATTCAAGTGGAGTATGGTTATCAAGCCATTTTATAATCCAAGAAAAAGATCCATCTCCAGTAACAATCTGATAGTGGATCCAATTTAAAAGATTGTACTTATTACTATTACTAATATTAATTTTCATGTTCTAAGCAAAGTTACAATTAAATGATCTTATTTCAGGTCATCATCATTATTTAAGCTCTGTTGGCTACACGAATCCTGTTTTACAATTTTATTTAGTTTAGTGATGTATCCTTTTCTAAATTATATCTTATTATTACTCAGCCCTTGTTAAATTATAAATCCTTAAGACCTCTTGAAAGATACAAATCCTTAATGTAGTCAAATATAACAGAAGTGGTTGCTAAATCATTATAATAGACAATGCACCATCTTATTTAATGCATGCTCTAGTTTTAGTACCATAATTTTAGTCATGGTGTCTAACCATGTCTATAAATCAATAAACAATGTTGGAGTATCGAAAGGTCACATCATGGTTAAAACTGTTCTTGCTCTATAGTAAACAACTGTTAGCCTACAGTTCATGCAAGAGTAAGATCTTTATTCTTTAGTAACTGTAATTTTCTTTTACCCTGTAATAGAAACATGCATCAATTGATTGCAAAATAGATTTTTGTTTACCAAGAAAAAAGTTAAAACACCTCACCAAAAAGTGAACAATATATCAGAAGATTTCACACAGCAAATTAAAAACATAATAGAAAAGAAATAACAAAAAGAAAGTTAAGGGTGATCTGTGATTCTACTCTTTCCCTTACCCAATTGTAGGAGTCCTTTGCTATATGGAAATCTTGACATGGTGAACTTGTACTATGGGCCCACGCCCACTAGATAAAAGGCTTGCTAAATTATCCACCTGTAAGGTATTTGTACCCAGCTGGACTCTTGGTGTGGATCCTTTTTTCTTCTCCTTTTGCATATTGGCAAGGATGCAAATCCAATTTGTTGATTGTCCCATTACATGTTAGTCTTGATTTACTATAGTTATCGTGCACAGAGATGTTGTAACTCATGGGCAGTTAACACGGAGATGTTTCAAGACCTATCCCTTAATGACCTTAACAGAAATATCCATTTGATTTTACTTCTCCCAAATCAACCTCATCCAATCAAAAGTCTTCAACTCCCTCATCTTGAAGCTGTGATGACTTTAAACTTTGATGGGAGTGCTGCAGGCAATTTGGGCAAAGCTGGGATAGGTGGAATCCTGAGGGATGAACAGGGTCTGATTTGTTGGGTGTTGGGTGTTTAGTGGTCCTCTAGGTATTACAGACTCAACAAATGCTGAAGTGATGGCAGCCCTCACTGGTATCAGAATAATAAAAAACCTGGGCATTCAGGCATTATCCATAGTAGGAGATTCAGCCAATACCATCAAATGGCTGAAAGAGAAGGAGGGGGGCCCATGGAGGTTGAGTCACTACCTGTCAGAGGCTAGAGACACTCTGGAACATTTGAATGTTAACCTGCAGTGGATCTCAAGGGAAATGAATCATATTGCAGATGGTTTAGCTAAATTGGGAGTAAATCTAGAAAACTTATACAGCAACAAGCTCCCCCTCTTGTAATTTTGCTTTTCTGCTGCTTTCTCATCTAGTACATCTGCTCACGTACTTTTGTCTATTTCAATGAATTCTGGTTAAATTTCTCTCAGAAAAAATCATGCACTTCCATTCAGTCCTAGTTGACTTTACAAAATATACACACACACTAGAATATGGGATATGGAGTATGGGAAGTGATGGTGTATGTGTGTGTGTGTGGGGGGGGGGGGKGGGCTGCCAATTGGACTGGATTTGGATTTGGTCCAATCCAATCCTTAACACCAGAATAAGCACACTTCATTTCTAAGGCAAAATGAATTTGAAGTTTTTAATGTACTAGCCATTGGATTTGGTCCAATCCAATCCTTATATAAAAAATTCTTGATGTCTTTCCTTGCATATTCTAGTTCTTTCTTGCTATTAGATTTTTGAACCTTTGTACGGGTGCTGGAGAAAACACCATTCTTTTTTATTCCTGTTTATTCGCATGCTCATTTGAGTTATTGAGCTGTTCATCAAGTTGCATTAGAACGTTGTTGGATGCTAATGAATTTGGATTTATGATTGTTGGTTATCAATGAATCTGGGCATACAGAATCAGTTACTTCGTAAAAACATGGTGACAGACCATAAGTTCTGATATAAAAAATGATGTGACTGCCAGACAATAACTAAAAAATTGTGCAGGATAGGATCTATATTAAACTGGAAACTGACTGTGAAGGTCTTGGCTTGTTTAGTTTGAGGCTTGACTTTGATGTTACAGTCTATGTGCCAGCAATGCGGTTTTTGCAAATGTTTATAGACTATATGAGGATACCAACCTGATGTTCTCATACCAGTCCTAAGAAAAGGTTTAGACTGTGTAAGGAATGGCTGATGGGTTTCATGGGGATCAAGGGTTTGGATGTAGGATAAAGGCTAGATAATGAAAGGATGGTATGCTAGGAGTCTAGAACTTGGGATGAACAAAGATCAAAATATTGATATGGTATGCCCTGTATCAGGCATACCATATCTGTATCCAAGGTCATGGATACACTGATGTACACAGGGTTTGGGATTTTGAAAGTTTGGGATGATAGTAGTTATCCTTCTCAGGCTGATAAACACTGATGCCCAATTTTTGGTATCGGGGCGTATCAATATTTTGATCCTTGGGGATGAAGGGTTAAAGATAAGATAGATGGTTTTGGGCTCAGAGGCTGCAGCTCGATCGCACCTCTCCAAGGGATCATGTATGAGATAGTAATCATGAATCAGTTTCTGTTTTAAAAAAAATTCTATTATTATTCTTAAGAAAAGGGTTAAAGATAGATGTTGGGCTGAAAAATATAGCATTAGAATTCTGTAACATACATGATAACACAAGCAAAAAAGAGTAACAGAAAAACAGATAGAGCTATTGGAGTCTGCACCAGTAGATAAGAGTTATTGGTAGATGCTCAAGCCATGGTTACTATTTACAAATTTGGCCTAGTTGTGACATGTGACAGATTAGGAAATTCATATATTGGGTTTTTCGGTGATTTGGCCATTTGGGTTCAGATTGATGTAAGGCTGTAATAATTGATATTTGTAAGGAAAATTTATGGTTTTAAGGGTCTAGAATGTGGTTTAGGGAGGAGTGATAAAGATGTGCTGAAATTTGTACATAAAATGGGAAGGTCTTAAGTACTGGAGTGCAGAAAATATTGCATAAAACACCATGTGGAATGAAAGCACGATATATTAGGATGATCTGTATGGGTGGTTTGCACTGGAGATGATTTTCAGATGTTCTGAGTGAGGAAGCACAATCTTTGACAACAGAAAAGAGCAAAGGCAATAGAAGAAAGAGAATAAAGATAGCCTAGAACGTGTCTTAGTTCTCCAGGCACCTAGATATTTACCCAAGGGTTTTGGTAGCATTATCATGCAACCAGGATTCTTTTTTATGGCCAAAACACAAATCTTCATTTGTTGCCTCAATCCATGTGCTTGGTTTGTCATTGAGTGAAATTGGTCCTCTTTAGTTCTGATCTAAAAATTCAGTTTACCTACTGTCCTGCAAGGCTGCAACGTAGTAATCACAAATTGGGCTTGATTCTAATTTGTACTTTCATCTGTTTCAGTAAAGGGTCAAAAAGTGGGGCATCTAGGTGTTATGGATGCCAAGGTACAGGCATGAAGATCACAACCTGGCAAATTGGACCAGGCATGATCCAGCAGATGCAACATTTCTGTCCAGATTAATTAATGACCATCCTACAACCATATGAAAATTGGAAGGATGATCTTCTCAAATTACTCTTTGGAAAGATGATTGGATTATTTAAAGAAAGAAAAGTAATTCATTCTGTTATTTTATTCACCACCAATAACTGTTCAAATATATTTTTTTGATAATTGGAATATTTTTAAATTATATATTTTCCCCAAAAAAAAGTGCAATATCTTTCTTTTTTTTCCTAGGATAGTTGATAGGTTGGAAGAATATGGTATCTATTTAGTTTTGTTTCTGATGAAAAGTTCTTAAAGCTCAGTTTGGAAAGAGTATAAATACAAATATGTAGAGTGAAAAAGCTTTGTATTTTATCTTATTTTATATGTATTTGCATTTAACATATTTGTATTTGTATTCTTTCCAAACCGAGACTAAAGAAATTTATAAATGGTGGGTAGAAACTAACATCATTACTATAGTTTTTGATGATTAAGGTTGTCGTTGGACGTTGGTTATGCTTTAGGATTTTTGCTTTTAAAGCCCAAAAGCACAAAGCCCCAACTTAATACTTTGTTATTTGGGGCTTAAAAGTGTTTTGGCTTTGGATTATAATATTTTAAAAACAATTCTTACTAAATACTCAAAACACTTAAATTCTGTTTTCCAAAGCTAAAAGCTCAAAAGCTCAAAAGCAAAAGCTTATCCAAACAAAGCCTAAATTATTTACTTTTCACCCAAACCACTACTTGGTCAGGATTTGTTCTTATGTGAATGTCTGATATTGTACATTTCTATGAATTAGTAGTCTCCATTTTTCATCCTATTAAAAAAGTATTAAAGAAAATAAAAGAAAAGAGCATCACATATTTGTTGCTTTCATTTAGTTCTTTAGTTATTTTTTCATTAGTACACTTTGTTTTTATTTGCATATTCCTTTAAATTCTCTTAAATGTTTCTTTTGTTAATTATTTTTTGTTTATGACTTGTAGGTTATCAGGTTTATCCTCTCAAGTATTTTCAAGGTTCAGGTATTGAGCTTCATGTTGAAACTACTTTTTCATATCTTCTCAAGTATGTTAAACCTTTTCAAGTCATCCATATATTCTATTTTTTTATTCATGCAGAAATCTCTTACATGTGTGGCTATATCTTTTATTGCCTTCTTTTGGTACCAATTGCTTAAATCGGTTTTAAAACAAATCTCTTAAATCTTGTCATAATCACTTCAATCTTGTTATAGTTTTATTTGAGTTGGGCGATTGAGCATTTTTAGGTTTTGCTTTCCTTTTTTGAGTTTTGTTATATATTTTTATTTATTTTTCTAATATATCTATTTTTTCCTCTTTTGTGCAAGTAATTGAAGATGAAGGGTTCAAATCAACGAGACTATATTTTATCCAGCTATCCATTTTGAATCTTTTATTTTGGACATCGGAGTTAATAAAGAATTATTTTGTTAATAAAATTATGATTGATTTTCTTTTTATTAATTTTGTACTTATTTGGGTAAAATATATAAGTATTCAGTATTATAATGAAATACAAGGAATTTCAACTATGCAATATGTTGATTTTTGTATTTTTAATAAACTCCATTTAATCACAATGGTATAAAGCGATCATTATTGTGATTATATTATCAAAAAAATGAGATAAATGGCAACAATATACAATGGTTATTATTAGTTTTAAATGCATTAATGACAATATTTTTAGTCATTATGATGTGTCCATTAGCGACGGAATAAGTTGTTAATAATTTTGAAATCATTGGCGACGGTGGTTTGTGGTCATTAATGTATGCTTAATGGTGATAACATAACTTGTCGTTAATAGTTTTGAATTAATAGCGACAAGTTCTTTTTGTTGCTATTGTAATATTTTAACGACGGATTGCATTTCCATCATTAATATACTTTAAGGACCGAAATTTTCAACTCGTAGTCTAGACTTTTAACAGCAAAGCCTTTAGCGACGAGTGACGACGACATAATATCTTGTCGTTAAAAACTTTCAACGACAAAATTTGGACTTTTAACTATGGTTTTTCCTATCGTTAAAAACCTACTTTCTTGTAGTGTCCATTTCAGGTTTATTTTTGATTATCTGGTCGATTTCGTGTGTGAACTATGTTGATTGGATGTGTAACGTGTGTTTGTTGTTGTCATTTTAGTGTATTGTTTGAGTTGAAGACGTAAAGCATAGCGACTTTGGTCCCTTTCTGTCATAATTTATCTTGCATTTTTGTGGTTAAATTAAATAGAAATTGAAGCTGTTGTTGCTATCAAATATGGAGTCGGGGGCAACAACGTAATTTCTAGTGTCCAAGGCCGACGAGTCCAACTTGCTGAGAGAAAGAAAGAAGATGCCACAGGCCCCAGGAGTAATCTTAGGGGCGAAGGCTCCGACGGTCAAGTTAGCAAAGGGCTCTAAGGGGTTGGACCAAACAAGAGAAGAGACTTAGAGCTTGAGTTCCAGTCTGTCTTTACCCCAACGTGGGCCCTTTTTATAGTTGGAGTTGCCTGAGAGGAGGAATAGTTGGGAGCAGGTGGTGACGGTTGACAGTAGTTGGTGATGGGTGGTCAGCATGCATTAGGTTGACGCCACGTGTCGGGATCCGCAAAATGGCTGGAATGCATCCGATCGATGCCATGTGTTGGGATCTGCAGGTCGGCCAAGTACCCCTACATCAGCTGTCATTACGTGATTTTCATCTTTTAACTCTTGTGAGTTGTGAATATATAAATGAGCTCCGCTTTTGGTTTCATCATGACATTAAGGCTGCGTTTGGATGGGGTGTAAAGCAAACGGCTCTTCATCGAAGTAAACAAGGTGTAAAGCAAACGGCTTTACATCTTCGTCTCTTTTTGATGTAAAAATCCATCGAAGTAAACAAGGTGTAAAGCAAACGGCTCTTCATCTTCGTCTCCTTTGATCATCTCTCTCTCACCGTCGAGCACTTCGCAAGCCCTCTCACCGCCGTTCTGCTGGTTGGGCTAGGTGAACTTCCTACTCATGTACTCCACACTGTGCTCGAACTCGATCAAAGGAGGGTCTTGGGGAGCAAACATGGTGTGGTTGTGCAGGGGACGAGGGCTCATCTCGATGCCCCGACAAGCTTGTCCCCATGCAACCAAGAAGTTGTTGGTGGAATGGCCATCGGCGACCAGGTGATGGGCTGTAAACCCTACCACCAACGACCCACAAGTGAACCTTGTGAGTTGAACCTACAGCAAGGCTTCTGTCTCCTTGAGACAGGGGTGGAGGCTCAACAAAGCTAGCAATGGTTTGAAGGGCATGGACTGGTCGAGTGTGTAGTCGGCCGATGCTTCCGCAAAATTGATGCCACGGTTGTTGAGTAGAATGAGAGGGTCACCCTTGTCATCTACTCCCAATCTGCCAGCACTCTCTGTACTCTGCTAGGGCCTTGCCGAGGCCTTGCTCTGTGGTTGCATTTGGAGGGGTTGGTGGTTGGTACGCATAGATTACAACTATGTGGGTGTTGTAGGTGACCTTGTTGAAGACGCTTAGAGGAATGCGAGCAATGTTTGAAGGAGAAATATCTCCTTCGTAGTTTGGCTTTACAATCTTGGAGCTTGGGTTTGATAACACGTGCTTGTTATAGTGGAAGAATAATCTTCCACTGTCGAAGACGCTCAGTGGAAGATGCATATTACAGCTAAAGCCAGTATTGGTACAGGAGGGTTGTGTGGAGGATACAAGCTTTGTGGGCTGATTGAGTTTGACGAATTGGGTTAGACCTTAGACGTGTTTATATACTAACACTCCGACACCACAAACCACACAGTCTATGATGAATTTGTCACAAAAAGTAAGGGAGGAAGCTCCAGGAAAACAACAGCAACAGATATAAATATATAATTAATTATTGTTGCTTCATCTCTTAGTTACTATAGTGTTGGCAATCTTATTTGTCATCGATACATGGGTGTAGTTTTACACCATTGTTCATCCAAATGCATACAGAAAATACACTGATATTTTACACTATTCTTCCTGTTAGCGTAGGGGTATTTCTGTCCTTATACCCAGATTAAGGTTGCTGATCTGTAATGTTGTGTTAGAATCAGTGCTCCTTCCTTAAATAAGGGCACATATGTCTTTTCAATTATTTTTAATAATAAAAGGCACTGTCTGGCCGAATGGGAGTTATGTTCTTGAGACTTCCAGTTCGAACTAGACTTTCTCCTTTTCTCTTTCTCTTTCTCTCTTTCTTCCACCTTTCTACCTCTTTCTACATAATCGATCTCAGAAAAATAGAACTCCAAGGCAGGCCGAATCATAACATGGTATCAGAGCCACTTGAATCTGCTTAGATTTTTGTCTGCCTAGATTTCTATTCTCTGCGCACCCTATCTAGGGTTTCTCTTGATTTTTCTGCATTCAACTGGAGATAAGGGAAAGGGTTGAAAAGGAGTGATCGCCCTCTTCCCTTGGAGGTTTCTATGCCTCCAGTCGGGTCTTGTGTGGTCGGTTGCTATGGTTTCTAAGATCGCCCTCCCCTAATCGATGAAGAATAGAGGGCCGATCTGTGTGGTGCAGTGGCTGTCTTGTGTGGACTGATTTCTTGCTCGTGTGGTTGTTCCTTCAGTGATAAGGTAAGA